GATGATGGACTCTCTCCTGCGTGGATACAAATGGACCACGTGCCTGTGCTATTTCGATGACGTCATCGTATTTTCACCTACATTCGAAAGACACCTTAGCCGCCTAACGGCTGTTCTTGAGGTATTCCGGACAGCAGGACTTCAGCTCAACTCTTCCAAATGTCGCTTTGGCCATCGGGAATTCACTATGCTGTGTTACCTTGTCAGTGCTCTAGGCGTGCAACCTGATCCTGAAAAAAATCGAGTTGTCAAAGATTTTCCCATTCCACGTTCCGCAAAAAATGTACGGAGTTTCATCGGCCTTTGTTCGTACTTCCGACGTTTCGTGAAAAATTTTACTGACATTGCCCGACCACTTACGGAGCTATTGAAGAAGGACATGCATTTTATTGGGGTGCTGACCAAGCACCTGCCTTCAGCACCCTTACTACAATACTTACTTCCCCACCCATCTTGGCCCAGTTCGACCCGTGAGACCATACTGAAGTTGGTACCGATGCCAGCGGACATGGAATTGGTGCTGTTATTGCCCAGGGGCAACGAGGACAGGATCGCGTCATTGCTTATGCCAGTCGCCTCCTTTCTCCTTCGGAGAGCAAGATTTCCATTACAGAGCGTGAGTGCCTCGCACTAGCCTGGCAGTCTGAAAATTTCGACCGTACTTGTTTGGCCGCACCTTTTCGGTATTTACACATCACCATGCCTTGTGCTGGCTGTCGTCCCTTAAAGGTCCAACTGGACGACTTGGTCATTGGGCCTTGAAACTACAAGAATACAGCTTCGACGTGGCATACAAATCTGGCGTAATACACCAGGATGCCGACTGTCTATCCCATCCCCCCGTGGACCCACCTGATCTTTCAGCTCATGATTCTGACCCTTGTGTCTTCGCCATATCGGCTTTCACCGACATACGCTAGGAACAGGTCAGTGATGTCCACTTGCGGTCTATCATGCAGAGTCTATGTTTTCCCCACGTAGACCCGTCGCTACACTTGTTCGTTCTACGCGATGGAATTCTTTACCGACGCAACACCAGCGCCGAGAGACCAGAGCTACTACTCGTAGTTCCTGCGACACTCCGTTCCACTGTACTTGAACAGCTTCATGACACCCCAACCGCGAGACATCTCGGGGTCACGCGCACGTACGATCGCGTGCGGCGTAGATTCTTCTAGCCAGGCCTTTACCGTTCTGTGCGCCGATACGTTGCTGCATGTGAGTCCTGCGAGTGCTCCAAATATACCACCTTGCCACCAGCTGGTCCGCTCCAACCAATAGACATAGCACCGTTCCCTTCTACCGCGTCGGTGTTGACCTCGTTGGACCATTTCCTACTTCTCTCACTGGAAACAAGAGGATAGCTGTAGCCACTGATTACACCACAAGATACGCTATCACACGAGCGCTACCGACAAGCTGTGCCACTGACGTCGTGGATTTCTTGCTTCATGACGTAATTCTTCACCTTGACGCTCCTCGACAGCTGCTGACTTATCGTGGTCGCTCATTTCTTTCAAAGGTAGTAAGTGACATCCTTCGCTCGTGTTGGACGCGTCACAAGCTCCCTACGGCCTATCACCTACAAACAAATAATCTTACCGAGCGCCTAAATAGAACATTGACCACAATGCTCTCCATGTACGTTTCCAAAGATCACCTTGATTGGGATAGTACTTTGCCTTATGTGACGTTCACGTACAATCCGTCACGCCACAACACCGCTGGCTTCTCCCTCTTCTATTTATTGTTCGGCTGCCATCCAGCGTTACCCTTTAAGACTCTTCTCCCTTCAACTACGCAAACGGTTACAGAGTACGCCCGGGATGCCACTGCTCGGGCTCAAGTGGCCCGCCAAATCGCACGGGAACGTCTTCTTTGCTCGCAGCTCTCTCAGAAGGCCCGCTATGATAGCCAGCACAGAGTCGTTTCCTACTCTCCAGGTTCATTGGCCCTCCTCTGGACACCATGCTGCCACGTTGGCCTCTCTTCGAAGCTCCTTGTCTCGCTACTCGAAGCCTTACAAGGTTTTACGATGGATTACCGAGGGTCACATACGAGATTGCTCCGTTGGACAGTCAGTCGTCGTCGTCCGCACCCGCTACTGACGTCGTCCACGTGACCCGCTTCAAACCCTACATATCCGCATGTGATCCTACTCTCCTTTAGGCGCCGAGACGGCGCTGCCAGTGGTGGGGGGTTATATGTTACACGACATCGGCAACGAAAGAGCATCATAGACGACGAAGACAATGAAAGCGACCGTGCTCGTGTTGTAGTTGCTGTTGGGCCTCCATCTTGGCTGCAGCTGCCTCTGACTCTCCCTGCATATTATGTAAATATATTTGTTTCATTCAATCTCTCGCCCCTGTGACAATAGTTTAGGCCAACATGGATTGCCATAACGAAACAAAACGTAGGAAAGGCCCTCTGTATCTATGATGATGATAGTTTAGGCCAACATGGATTGCCATAATGAAAAAAAAACGTAACAGCTGCCCAACAAACTTCAGAGAAGATTGTTCCAACCTGCATCTTCGCTGGCTACGCCATTGGCAACCAGCACTAAATAATTCTTACTGCTCACACTGGCTTCTTTTCTCTACGCATTTCTATTTGTCTATAAGAAACAACTACTCATGTGAATGCCACTGTGCTTGTTTTACCGTTCTTTCACGGATATAGTTATGGTGTTCAAGGAGGCTCTGTGAGAGAGGTACCATCCACATATCAATGAGCATCATCTTCTTTTACGAGGAAGAAATTACCTGCATTGTATAGACTGGGCTAAATTTTGATGACACGGGTAGACAAGCGAACTCCGCAGAAAATGTCTTTTGTAGGGGTGTGCGATTAGTGACCTATGAAATCTTCTTGAATACTAATACAAAACGAATACTCTTTGGGGATAGAAAAAGCTCATCAATTTGACAGTTGTTAATTCAAAGATTATGGGAGCTTTCTACTTGTCGTCTGGTACCGGCCAGCAAATACATTGTTCGATGGCATCATACACTCTCCTTGACACGGTCATATTTGACCGCGAATATGGTTAATTCAGACGATAGTCGGAGCACGCCCCGCGAAAAGCACCGTAAATTTGAGTCGCAAATAAGCAAAAGAATAACACCCAAGCACTCCGTACATATGCTAAACCAGCAAAACTGCAACGTGTGGTGACAGGTGGCTGTATATATCACAGGCGAAATCAAAGTGCCACTTGAAAAACTATCTCCGAAATTGGGGGTTAGCACCGGCGATTGCGTTTTCACAATTGCCGCGTTGGCACTGCCCTGCCCACAATGCCGCTTCCTCGGCTGTTCGATGGTGCCTGCATTCGGCTCGGAAGGCCGCCAAGTCCACAATGTGCAGTCGCTGCTCGCGCTCCACCACCTGGACTGGTTCTTGAGCCCGGACTGCTGCCCCGCCTCAGCGAACAATAGTCCTCTCACGGGTCAGCTGTTGGCGCTGTTCTTGGAAAGATGTACATTGTTCGCGTGTCTACGATCTGCGTCCTCCCTAAGCAGATGTTGTAAGTTGAAACTGCTGTGAACACGCTCGGCAGCATACCTGACCTTTACGAGTGACATGTGACCAGCCCAGCGTGCAATACTGGACTCAATACTTTAGAATGCTTCGGGCTGGGCAAATACGTGTGGCGTATCTGAAAAGTTAAATAACACGAAGGACTATGGTCGAAAGGTACTTGAACATGCATAACCGTTTCTATTTCTGCGTGTTTAGGTTTCTTTCTTCTTTGCCCTACGTGCTGTTTACCTTTGTTATAGCCTCATCATGCTGAGAAGAGAGTGTACAAAAAGCATTAGTTCAACGAATGAGTCAAGAATGAAAAAAGGGCAGGCAGGGGTTTTAACGTAGCAATGGGGAAAGGAAGGAGGGGTGGCAGTCAAAAATAGAGAGAGGGAGGATAGCACACACATAAAATCACACACCTCACAGTGTTGATCAGACTAGTGGTCTACAGCTACCAGTGTAAGACTGATGCCTTCATAAAATTGAGCACTACCTTTATCGCCTTCACCCGCGATCATCTCTCAGCATGACATCCCCGAACGGTTTTTGCCATCATTAGTTTGTTGTGAGCTCGTGTGACTGCGAGTAAGTTTCTCGGCACATTGTATGCAAGACTGTCACTGATCATGTGATGTATTACCTTTTTGCTACCACAGTTGTCACTTAATCGGTTGCCAGTGATATAGTTTCGAAAGTAGAACGACTTAGTTAAAGTACTTCATCGAACAGTCAATATGATACTAAAGCGTAGCCCTGGTTTTGTCTTGGTAATCATTCTGTCTACTCCAAAGTGGCTGTACGTTTTGTAGTAAAATATAATACCCTCAAAAACAGATGACAATTTACATTATTCAGTCAATCAAAAATGGTGTTTAGAACTATCAAATATTGATGAAACAAATTAGCTCTAAACATTCAGAAAGCTAATCCATAACATGCAATAGTACGTGTATACAAAGATCAAGTGTAATTGCGTCGACAGCGTCAAGAACTGCTTTATACATTTCACTCGCTGTAGATTAGAAACGTACTCCTCAGTACCATCTCGCGATAGCTTCTTATTTATCGAATCAGTCTCAAGTGAGCCATTTACTAAGAAGACAACTTCAGCTTGCCCTTTTAATGTTAAAACCACCATCGTCTTTAAATCATCAGAATGTATTTTTACGACCAGCTATAGATTTATGACACTCGTGCTGATTTTTTACACTTGCAGAGCACGAGATATGTTCGTGAAATAGAACAGCATAACTTTTACTTCCGATACAGTTTACACTAATAAATGCGGCACAATATTCACGTACGTTCCGGAAAATTTTCGTGAGAGCTGTTCATTATTTTGCATTGGTGGTTTGACCAGGATGCTAGAGTTGCTCAACAAGTTGTTTTTTTGGGGAGGGGGGGGGCGGGGAGTCGCCCAGGTATTGTTGCTGTCTTACTTTTAAATGTATTTGCTCAATGTGCAGGTTACAGCTCTATTTGAGTATGCCGGAGAAGAGCATGACGTGCAGTCCAGCGCGTTGGACGCCGCTGTTCTCGCTTACTCGGGCCTGTCACTTATACGGGCACGTATGGACCCTGAATGCAGAATGCATGGTGAGCGAAAATATAGCGCAAAGTGAATTTCTAAATTCTCAATATGGAAAAAATTGAGCCACACTAGAAATATATATGAAAAACACTTCACTATGCCTTCTGACGTCCCCTTTTTTTTATGCCGTTGCTATCCACTGCATATAAGCAACGCATACTTTCACGAAATGTTTGGATAAAGCTACTTATAGGAGTAATTTCAATTACTAAGGGACTAAACGAACACATGAAATGAGATTAAGAGTCTATAAAGGCTTCCGTATTCATAGCAGATGAGATATAAAAATTTAAACCCATGGTACCTTGTTTGGCCCTTCGTGATTATTTCAAATTAGGAGATGACAGTTAGTTTTCGTATAACCGTAACTAAAGACATGGAATCTAACTCGCTATACGTGACCTTCTTGTCCGTTAAAAATAATTTTTCCGTCTGGTTTTATTAATACAACAGCGCCTCCTCCATTTTCTGGCACGTGGCGCCCCTTTTATATCTTAAGTTTTTAAAATCAGTTTTGTAAATAAGAGACCAAAATCATCCAAAATAGCTCGTTTTTATCACCCAAACTTCAGGTGCGTTGGACCGCCATCCATGTTCTTGATTCCTGCCAGTGTAGTAATTCAAGCCAAAACACACCCGTGGTATTTTCAAAGTGCAATGAATGTATTAAAGTAGGTGTGTGTGTGTTTCGCAAGCGACTGTCACATACCCGGTAAGCATTGCTAGAGCGATAGGCTGCGAACATCCTGCTCTCCATGCGAACAATGTTTTCCGTATAAATATGCGGCTTTCGAGAACTGACGGCGAGGACAAGGTGAGGTTAGCGGAATGTATATGACGTAGCTTTATGACTAATATTGTAACACTCAGAAAAAGTACTTGAGTGGTTTTTAGACATGGGGTGAAATTCAATAATTTTTATACACAGAGGCATGTCAGTGCTCAAAACTCTTTCGCAAGAACACTCTACGCAGGCGTCATTTTGGACGAAGAATTGAGTTATGTAATGTAGTGTTAGATAACAGTAAAACAACAACCAGGCGTTTCATTCCTCCGAAGAGTGCACAGCAGTCTTTACAAACACTACTCTTTATGCTTTCAACGTGACTTTGCTGGTTGTTCGCAGGGCTGGTAAATTTCTTTGCGTAATTTTTTTTACGTAATCGTTAGCTGGGAAGACCAAGGAAGCCAAACTTCCATTCTGTCAATGTTTGTTATAGCTTCCTTTTCCCGCTACCCAAGCGAAAAAAAAATTATCTTGACTCAATGCTTGCCAAGCATGCATGACTGACCTAACCGAAGTTCAGTCAACCATGTCAGGCGAGGATGATTTCGTTTCCATTTATAGCCTCACACTGGCCGACCGTTTGCTGCTAACATAGGCTCAAGGAAATATGCAGACATGTAGACGGCAGAGGTTGCAAGTCTGGATTAAATATTCTTGTACGAAAAATCTAGTACAATCTAGTGATCGCGGACGCTGAACGTTTAAACAAGAAATTTTCGCTGGCCAAGAAAAAATGTGAGCAGTGTAAGAAAAAAAATGTGCCCGCAGATGCATTGCAAGGCTGCCTTATGGCTGGTCTACATTAACTGGTAAAAGTCGTAGCAAGCAGAGCTTAGCCCTACAAATAACCGCGTTTGGTCTACCGGAAATTGGGTGCTGACGATTTTTTTACCATTTACCGGCTGTTAGCTGAACGTCTTTGGCGATATAATAATGAGCGACATTGGTAGCCAATCAGAGTCCCACTTTATGCCCTGTTTGTTCAGCCAACAATAGCGGTTGCCTAGCACTGCCCAGTTTTTACCGCCCATTGGCCGTCGGCCAATTTTTTTTTTGGGGGGGGGGGGGTAGCAACAGGAATGGAGCGAGCGCTTGTACGTTATTTAATGGATAATCTTGCACGACCCTATAGCTATACTGCAAGCTTTTGTTATGTGCAGATCATCCATTCGCTAGTTAGATGATGTCTGGATGACAGAACAATCCATTTTTGATTTGGACGTCAGTGCCTGAAACACGAACACATGCGCATGACATTGTCGTCAGAGATACGCAGATGGAAATACTGAAGAGAAATACTTAAAATACAAGAAGAATATTCTCCTTATAGGGCTTGATCTTCCGGCTTCTATTTCGGAGGCGCGATGCTTTAACTCGTAAGCCACAGAAGCATGCCTAATCACGTCAACTAAATGCTTTGAGGCAGTGTGTCTCAGGAAAAAAAGTACGTTCAGATGTCTGGCGCGTTTGCACAAAACTGACAATTTCGCCATGGCACCATGTAGAAACGCTAGGTGTTGTATTTTTCATAGCTCACTGAGCGTCATAAGGTTGTAGTTATCACACCTAGAATGATCATTCACGCCTTGGGGGATTTCTGGCGCTAGTTTTTACGGTGGCATTTAGACGCTATAAAATATTTTTTCCTGTCGGCATGATCAGGTACATTGAAGGTTCACATCTTCAACTTGCAATAAGTAGCCGGACTCGTAAGCACAAAACACATCGAAAGAATTTTCTTCATGCTCAACTCTTTTCCATGAGCCACAGTTTCATTGGCAGCCATCTGTCACGTCATGCGGATTGGAACTCGGCCGCAAAAGTGAAGCAGTGAAGCATGCAGAAAAAACGCTTAAACCTGCGATGCGCTGTAGTATAAACAAGTTAGCTTATTGCAGAATACATATATAAGTATAGGGTGTCTAAATTCTGAGTGTCGTCTTAGTTTGTATTGATTATACAACAAAGAAGTATCTTATATATAGAGTCACCTAACTTTCTTTGTCTGAGCTAATTTATGTCTGGTTTTGTTTCGTTCCTATGATTCGCATAATATCAATTCCCAAGTTTCCTGAGATTTGCACGAGCACTATCTTGGAGTACAGCTACGCAATGACTTAAAGGTGACCATACCAAGCCATTCCACGTGCTCCCGCACCTTGAGAGCTGACGTTATGATAAGCATGTGGAGGGAAAGTGACCATGTTGTAAACTTTTGCTTCGCTTCAAATTGATTCCCTAGGTACGTGGAATGTGCGAAATTTTTATTGACATTCTCCTTATTTAGCTGCCCGTTGACGTCTTACCATTCACTTGTAATTACCTAGCTCTTATAGATAGCATAGTTACACGAAACTTGCTCAACGCATCCTGAAACTCCTGATAGTAGATGTTTCCCCTCACGAATTTGACTTTTGTGTGTATATATGTGTCAGTCTTACACTAATAATTGACGTCACAATTGCTGTTAATTATTTCAGATGCTCTATCCAAACTCCTGGTGCTTACTTAGTATTATCTGTAAACTTCCATTATGTATGCGAGGTGAACAGTGATTCTATGCATTACGTTTAAAGATACGTTGTTAGTTTTTGTCCGTGAATATCTGTTCTTTGTCGAATACAATACATCCACACTCCATTTATCTTGCGTTTCTTATCCAATACATGCCTTATTTTATGCTCTCACCTTGAAATACCTAAATATGGGCAAAACAGCACTGGTGCAATAATGGAAATATATTTGGCACATTTGACTTTAGTTATTCATAATTATTTTCATGTCCCTGCATCTCAGTTGTTCAGCGAATGCATGCTTTGCTATGAAAAGTTTACGTGTTGAAGGAGTGTGGGTGGTAGTCTAAACATGAAGCGTCTAAGTTGGGTTTAAATAATGAATGCACAAACCCTGATTACTTTGGAGCCACAAAAAAATTCTTTTTTTTAACTGGGCTGAGAGCTCAGTCTAAGCTTAACTAACCAGCATGATTGAAGTGCCACCAGGCTACCAAGCGGTAAATGTTAGTTACCACGAAAGCGTGTCCTCGTGGCCATCCGCAATCATGAAGCTGTATCTCTGACTTTGTTCGCTATAGCAAAATTTTGAAAACTGTTGAAAAAACACTCATATGTTGCACGAGCACCATGAAGATATGTTTACGGACATTTCGAACATCTTGTTCACCATTTCAGTGTTAATTGTCAATAAGTTATGATGTCTTTTGCTTCATAGGCTTTTCCAGCACTATATTTTACTCAAAAGAAGTTTAACTAATCCTTTTCATACCTGCATATGTGCTAATGTATGCCCTTTAAAGAACAGTAAACTATCACTTAACATTTTTTACTGGGTTACTGGGTAGGCGAAGTACACGAAGTTGAGAGAGGAAGTAGACAGCACAATTGCTTCTTCGTTCTTATTCGCATAATTTGCATATCGAATTCAAGCCATTATAATAATTACTCCATCTGGCTCAAAAGTCACTCTGAATTGTATCATTTTATCACAGGCGTGTTCCTGCGATCAGAGGCGACGTCAGAACTAGAGGTTCATCGCAGCCAGTTACATTTCTGTGTGCGGGCTCCAAGTGCTGAAAGGCTCCTGAAAGTGCGCACTCAGCTCGAAGCCTGCATGGAAGCGGCCGCCAAGGCCACGGGCTGCAACGTCCACATTGCCGAAAAGGAAATCTTCTGCAAGCACATGAATCTGAATGAACCGCTGCTAAGAATTTTCCAACGGCACGCAGAGGCACAAGGTACAGCAGCACTTATTTCGTAAATAGGAAGACAAATTGTCAGTTAAATACCCAAAGGAAAGTTGGTGTATGGTTATATTTTAAATCCTTAAACACTTTCTCTGTATATGGGCGCTGTGAAGTTCACTTCTTTTTTTCGTGTCCAGAATTATATTTCTCAAAAGGTGCTCAACAATGTAAACAGAATATTTCTACCTCGAGGACATAATATTAAATGAGCAATTGACTCAGCTCGAAGACGTATACACCGATACGTTTGTGGTCAATAGAGTTTTGATGTGCCCTGGAGATGCCATTGCCGTCGCGGAAAACGAGATCTCTTTGTTGAGTGTTTTTTTATGCAGATGCAAGAGCACTGTGTGCGCTCAGTATGGTGTTACCATTAGTTGCCCTATGCATGAGGCTGCATAATTCCTACCGATTACATAATATGTAAGTAGACTAGCCTGAAGCTCTTTTATGCGTATGTTTCACAAGAAATGCAAAGGCGTATAATTGAGGTCAGTCTGGCGTTCCCTTCACCAAAGTCTCTCCATATATCGCTTATCTCGATAATGAAAATGTACTGCAAAAGGCAGAATGCTGCAAGTCGTAAATGAGTCTAAATAGGTTGACTCAAATGATTTGCATTCATGGTACAACATATTGATAATTTCGAAAGCGGTTGATCAGATAGGGATCAACTTTGATGAAACGACAAACGAGGAGGCACTACATCAATTGAGCTGTACGAAGTGCCAAACTGTACTCCACTGCACCTTCATTTCTCTGAAGGTCACAATATGGGATATGCATCTGTTAAACGTATCGTGATCCATCGCCACTGTTTGACGCTTTGCTTATCCGAAAACCAAGAGCAATCGCAAACGTTGGTCCAACAATATAAGAGAATAATTGGCAGATTGTTAGAGAAAATATGCTTCTTTCCTAGAACCGTTTTTGGTTAACGTGCACCGAATGTTGTCTCTTTTCGTAGGATTGCTATTCGAAGACAACAATGCCTGCCGGGTACAGTTGTCAGGTGCAACGTCAGACATTGGCAACGTGTCCCACGTGGTGCCCACAATTACATCCCATGTTTGGCATCGAATCCGCATCTCTGAATCATACCGTCGAATTCGGCCGTGCCGCAGGTACCAGGCAGTCGCAGGAAACGTCTCTCGTAGTTGGAAAGGCACTAGCGCTCACAGCCTTCGAGCTTCTTTGCGACCATCGGCTTCTGGATTCGGCGAGAGAAGATTTTGAACGCCGACGCAGCGATCATTCTCTCTGAATAGCAGTTCTCGTGTGCAGATGTTGAGTGCGCTCTACTTTCCCTGTGAAGCCGTAGAACGCTGACAGTTGACGTATATTTCAGTGCGGTACCAAAAAGTTTACCTGCCTGTAATATTGACGTAACCTTGAAAAAACAGAAGGAAATTGTTTTGATCACCACCCATTGTCATGGCTTCATTTTCTACATTGTTCAGCTCAATAGTCGCAGTCATTGCAATGTTGGAATGCAGAAAATTAGGCTTATACGTGAACTAGGAAGCCCTACATAATAAATTGAAGCACTGCATTTGGTAACAACCGAAGCACTAAAAAGAAGTTGCATAAAAAAACTACATTATCATTCGGCGTTTCTTTTGAAGTACTTGAGCATAAAAGTTAGGAACAGTGAAAAAGCGTGCTCAGCGAACAAGACATTGAAAATAGCCCTATTAAGCTCCCGTGTACACCGTAATTTTTTCATTGGAGAATTTCCTTTATTGGTATCTTTCTGGTCTTTGAGCGATGGTTTTAGAAATAAGCAAAGCTTTCTAGGAAGGCTGTGATCTATTGGAAAGAATGAAAAATGTAAGCATGACAGGGCCAAATACATCGAACGGGCGCGACTGTCAAACAAAACAAATACGTTCAAATTCGTAATTGGCCTATTTTGGATCACCACATTCGTGACTTTATTCATAAAGTTATCATAAATTATTCTACTATAGGTGTCAGCAAAAATAGATAACAATCTTCTTAGAATGCCACTTTATTTGCTGTGAGGTGTAAGTTTAACGTTTTCGGAATATTTGCAGTGAAAACTAACTTATAATATTTTTGTAATATTTATTGTACTGCGAATTGATGATAGTTATGTAGAGAGAGAGAGAAGGAATAAGGAATGCAGCAGGAGTAGAGTGGCTGACTATACCACGTCCAGTTTGCAGCCCAACACATTTGCAGGGAAATAAGAAAGAGAAAGAAAGAGTGAGTGAAGAAGAGAATCATTACAAAATGGACACGCAGAGCAGTGTTTCAAAGGCGGACCCCCCACGCTGCCCCTTTCATGTACTGCCTGAAGGTTCACGTGGTTTTTTGGGGCTAATTAAATTATGCTCTCATTTTTTTCTTGGAGCCTCAATGTAACATCTCCTAAATAAGATTTTTGTGAACCTGACTTCACAGAGACCGACATATTTTTTATGCAATGCTGCGCGAAGCTTTGCTTGAGAGAGAAATGCGTATTATGGTAACTCGGCTGAGCTCAGCTCAAGATCACGTGTTGGTGGGTTCCCCTTCATAATTATGCGCACTTTTATTGCGTTGCATTCTCATACCTGAAGCAGTTACACCCTTTATCGTGTTTTTGTGCTTCGTTATTAGATGGTTTTGTCTATGGGACGCTGATATTTCACTTTTGATGCCAATATTCATAAACCTGAAACATCCTAGGGAGTGTTTGAGTGTGCGAGCATTTCGAAGATTGCATAGCTTATGTGGAACAGTGATCACGCACAAACCGGCTGTAATTCAGTGAAACACTTGATATTACTGCTGTCTTCACTGAAATAACTGCATTGTATCTAGTTGTTGAGACATTTGATATTATGCTGCATGTTCTTGCTTTACTTTCTCTTAGAACTTTGTCATTACCTATTGAAATAAAGAATTATAGATGCTGCTTTTTCAATTCTGAACTTCAGAAGTCTGGACTAAGAACTTCAGTGAATCCCTAGTGTATTTTTAGTAATGAAAGGCAGTTTCTTAGCGCTAGTGTGGACTACGAGAAACAGGAAGCGACACTGAATACTGCTTTTCCAGTATGCACCAACACACCTACATCGCTACGCTGGTACACTAAATTTTCTTTCGTAGAAATTTTTACACTGCCATCATAATTATCTTCTAATTATTAGAGAATACCTCTGCACAAAATAGGAGGTGGTGACAAGTATTACGTACTCCATAAAAATCTTGTAAGGTGGTAAACAACCTGGAAATTAGAATTACCCGGGCAGTGAACTTGATGTTCTTGGTGCAAATATTAGTGGAACTCGGAATCTAAAATATTCTCGCAGTTCTTTCAATATATTGCTATATATTATCAACAGTGAAAACAATCACACTCATTTCACACGTAATAATAGCGATATACAGCATACCTTGAAATTATGTGGCTAAAGCTCCTCCCCCCCATAAGGACTTTCTGCTGCGTCTTTTAATTAACTAAGTATTACTGCAAAATATTGTGCGGCTTGCATACATCATTTGAATATTATTGTTAAATATTATATTACTTTGCGAAAATTGGTGGTGGTGGTATTTGAGCGAGATTGTGTTGTTCAGCTGAGTTCACTGAGTGAAACATGAGTTCATAGTCCAACTTTAACAAAACATCGCCACAATTTTTCTCAATTTCGCGAATGGCATTCCTTGGCAGCCTAGTTTTCCAACTGTCTCTGACTGTGCTAGCGTTGCTAGCACTGTTATGTTGCTTCCCCATTTTCGAACTGAAACCACTCATCTGTTGCCTCAGAAACGACAACACGTTTGGATGCACATCTAGGCCGAGTCGGGCGAATAGCTTCTTCGTCTGATTAACGGGGTCCGAAGCCAGATCTTCATCACGCAGCTGGTGCATCTTGTCGCGCCCTTGTTGGTGCAACAGCTCCTCGAAGACGCGCATGTCGAGCGCATCTGAGAGCATAACGTCCTGGCGTTGATGCAGGAGCCACTGGCCCTGCACGAGTCTAAATCTTGACTGGCATAGATTTCTCTTGGGTCTCGAACCAGGTGTATCACTCGAACGGACTCTGCAATGTCCGTGTTACGCTCAACCCATTCTGCTACCTGCGCCAAAAATACAGATGTCCAAGTCAGATTAAGTTCATTGTTTATAATATAACAAACTCCTAGCTTCATATCAAAAAGCTATGCGTAGCAACATGTTGTTTGAAGCAGCTATCTGAGTGAGCTACATCATGCGTTGTACAATGTCAAAGTGTTTCCTGCAGTAATTTTTGTCTTTTAAAAGGACATTAGAGAAAAATGGCTTTTCTCATATCAGCATTAGCAAACGTGTCTTTCACGATCACTGCAAAGAGCGGCTTGGTAAGCGAGGAAACGCACCAAAACCTGACGTGGGTGGTGGCGACTCATTTGAGCTTTCACGCTAGTTCCCAAGTCGTCACAAATTTTGACTGCCTTTACTGAAGTTAACTTCGTTACTAGAGGGTAACAATGAAGCACATTGTCTCATCAATATCTCAGAGACTTAACGTATTAGAGACGTAAGTTTCAGAAATTTTTTTCAGCAAATGTCAACAAGTGATGAAAAAAAAACACCTTGAAATTCGTTGAGTTATTATCTTGAAATAAGCACGACGTTGAAAAAATGGCACTCCTCACATCAATCTTCTAATCAGTTACTGACAGGTAGGGGTGCAATTATTGACGCTTAAGTTTTCAGAGTAAAAGTTTTTTAATCCAAACTGTTTCATCTTTTAACAGCAGTATATTCCTTGAATGAACCCTCCATAACGTTCGATCGAAGTCAGAGGGTGAGTAAATACCACTGTATCACAAATTTCTTTGAGTTATTAAACCAACCTTGCATTACAAAACACCTCAGCGAGTTCAGTCTTTTCAAAAATTGACTAGTGTTGGGTACAAATGGTTTATGAACATTGTTATTTGATAATAAAAGCACAACCTAGCTTGCGCGAATTTCTTGTCATGGAGTCATAACCAAGCAGTGAAACGTATCTTAAAACTTTGATAGGCCTACAGTAATGTGATAACTTGCCCTTTGTAAACACCACGGGAACAATTTCCATTCTTATTTTACTTATGTCTTTTTTTCTCAGTACTATAAACGACTGCACAGGGGCGGGGGGGGGGGGGGCATGTGGTACGTTATTGGCAATACATGTATATACACTGAAATAAAAGTGAAGGACCTTGCAACAATATTTAGTAGGCGTAAAATTACCTGATCAGTGTCATTAGGCGAATCATTAGGTAACGGTATAAGTGCCCTTCAAATATTTCATGTATTATTAGCCGACGCAAATTTACCCGGGGGCGACCACGTAATACGTAGTACCAACCATCTGCGGCAGGTTAGAGCAACGAGATATGCACCAAGCGATGGGAAACTCCGCGGAAAAGACTAGCAAAATATAATCAGCGACAAAATTTAAAAGGTCGGCAGGATAAAGTAAAGTATTTTACAAAAAAACGTAACGGTGAAATCAGCGGGAGAGGCTGTCGGCTTTTGAATAATAAGTATGGCGATACTGTTGATGTCTTCTTCATGGATGCATAGACGAACACGAGTATGTCTCCATCGAAGGCAGATACGACTGGTTCACAAACGGTTGCGCGACTACCTGAACAAACAGGATTCCACAAAGTCGTCAAGCTGAGACTTGCTTCTTTTAGACAATGCGAATTTCAACATTCGTAACGCTGATCGGATTTACTTAACGTGACGATGCCGCCAGTGAGTGTGCCACCAAGCCACCAGGCTTTGAGTGCGCCTAGAACCAGCTGTGATTATTTGCATTATAGGGCGCGTAGATTGGTGTTCACAACTGAAGCGTATAGCAAGGCGGCTTTTAATAGAACGATTACCAAGCAGGGAGAACAAAACAGAGAACGAACGCTCGCCGCCCCTCTGCACGGGCGTGCTTAGCATGTTTGCCTTTGTCAGAATGCGAGGGCGTTGAAAGCTGTTGCACGCTTTTTCTGCGTTTACTTTCGTAATAGAAGATGCACACGATAAAATTTATTGCACATGGACCTTTTACGAACCATCATGACACCACTGACACCGCCGAGAAAGTTTTGGCCGAACTGTTTTTAAATTCTTGCCGCGCAAAAAATCACCCCAATCACACGATGTGATGAGTGGGGTGAAGCACTGGAGGGTTTCATCGCAAAACCGTGAACCATCCGCGAATATCGCCCACTACATCACCAAAGACGTGAGAAACACTGCATATATTTTTACAAGAATTATTATGCATAGCAAGTGGTAGCTATATGTAATTTTTGGTCCCCTTTCATTATATGATGGCTTTATGGTCGATTAGGTGGTGGATGGGTTATGGGACGTAGTGGCATGCTTGCAAGGACGATGTAGTGGGCACTTTGCAAAGTTGGAACTATAGGCGGTCACGTACAAAGAAGGGATGGACCCAGTAGGACAATCTACGGTTCTTTACGCGCACCTGGATACAAATACACGACCTTCTTGCATTTTATATTGGCTAGTTCTCAACAGTATTAGCTTTAGTGATCGGTGAAGTGAAGGATCTGTCTTGGGCGTAGTGGGATATTTCCAAGGACGAAGGCATCGGCAGTTCGCAGAGGTGGAACTATAGGCGGTCATGTACATACATACAAGCGATGAATAGACTAATGCCTTTAAGAACTTAACCTCCAAAATGTGGCAAAAAAAAGTAGACTTGCCATATTCGTGTATTGCCAGATATGTAGCCAAGCAGAAAAAAACTGGGGTTAAAAAACGGCATTTTTTTCTTGAACTAAATGAATATTAATTTAAATGGCCATACACGTAGACAAAAGAACACGCTTTCTTAATTTTTTCTTAATTTTGGAGCCGTAAGGAGGTTGCCAATAAATGATCCCGCTATTGTAAGTTCAGAGCGCTGGCATATATGTTATGCCGACTAGGTTGAGTTCTTTTCACAGAGCGAGTAATTACTGGATGTTCTAGCCAACCACTTAGTAAGAATATGAAGTATCGCAGCAGTTCTTTTTTTTTTAATGGTGCAGACTCAAATGTATAAACCCGCCCTACTGCAAAAAAAAGAAACTGCCTCCCCAGCGTGATGCCAGTTCGTTTTGCGGCACTGGCACATGCTCTGAACACTGGCACACGCTCGTATTTAGTGGCACTTCGCTGGGCGCGTTGAGATATCGCACTGGCTTGACCGCTGTGATACTGGTGCCCGCTGGGAGGCGCTGGAAGCGTTGGAATTTTCATTGAAGTGCCCTGGGGCATGCTTGAGCACGCACTGTGCTTAAGCATGCGCCATGGTGTTCTATGGTGTCCTCCTGCACCAGTGTATTTATTCATAAATCGCAGAAAAAATGGCTTCTAATGCACCAAAGTAGAAGCTGAAAGTACCCAGTGATCAGCCATGGCGCCAACTCGATTTTTTTTTTTACCTGAATGTTTCCTAATGCTGTCGATTTGGCGCAAAGAGTACCCACCACAGGCACATCCGCTCAGAAAAGACGAACTTTATGCCATGTTTGTACACATTTACCTGCAAGTAATTACCAATCGTGAAGAGACGAATCTCTGTGGTTTGATGTCTGATATTCCATAGTGGACAATGAATTGAACTATATTAAGTGAACTATACAATACGCGGGCGAATGAGCAATCAACAGCTCTTGTACATTGCATTTCTACACTACTTTCTTTATAGTTTCAAGGTGAATAGCTTCAGCAGTCTGTCACAAATTAAAATGCGCAGTGCAACCTGTTTATTTCTACTTATGCCCTCCGCTTTTCCTATGTCGTCACCTATCCACTCCGTTGTGGCATATATGTTCGAGCTGCAATGGAAGTGTGGAGGTCTGAAAACTTCCATTGAAGCCCACAGTCTTGAAATAAAGTTATTAAAAAGGTGGCAACTGCAAGCAAATGTATGTTGACTGCAGCGCTTACCACATTTTTTGAGCTGTTACTAACATTCTATCTACCTGGTTATTACCTACGTTAGTAAGCAGTTACTAGCTGCAACTGTTATTAACTTGCTACCTGTTTACTACCTACGTTAGTACGCACTTAGTAACTGTAATGAAATAGGTAGTAACTCCAGCTGTTACTAGCTTCCTTGCACAGTTACAGTCATTTTTCTGCCTGGCCGTGGACTATCTCCACTAAAATAGTAAGTAATTCTTATCGTAATATCTTGAAAAACACCGCCTCGACGTATTTTCTTTAAACGAAAAAATTACGCAAGATATATCCGTGGAATAAGAAAAAAAAGTTCAATCTAAATCATGCAGCCAAGCATGGAAGTGGCATTCTCCTATTGTCAAAATGAAGTAAAGGTTAATGAAAAGTAAGCAAGTGCTACACTTGTTGCAATAGACAATTACAACAAACTTAGCAAATTACGACAAACTAACAAGGCAGGCAGATCATTATTAACTTGATTATCAAAATTAATCCGGAGTCCCACACAACGGCGTATCTTACAATAATATCTCGGTTTTTGGCACGTAAAAGCCCCGAAATCGGCTATTACCACTTAACACCAATATATTGTCACAGTAATACTACGCACACTACATGCCCGTGTCAATAGTAGCACATGAAAACATTCTAATGCACTGATGCTATGGTAACGAGTTCAGTGCTTTGTTTCAGCCACTGTATATAATGCTTTTTGTGGTCAGTTTATAATGAATTGATATGACATAATATTTTATAAGTACAGTTTGATTAAACGGCACATGCTACGTCTTAAAACACACGTAACTAGGTAGTACAGCACAGTGCTGTTGGCTCACATTTTTTTATAAGTCACCCTGAAGGACAAGTGCTTACCTGTGCCACGCACACATTTTGAAAGTAGGAACTGTATGTATACTCTGGTAGTCGACTTGTGCTGTAGCCCAATGAGCTTGTTAGGTCTAAGTATTTCTCGTGTTCATCACGCATCACGCAGTATTACGCGAAGTTCTTTTGTAATGAAACAATATTTTGTTGACAAATAAGAAAAAGCAGAAATATTGCTAAATTTACACGCTAGTATTGGTTAGTACTTTACTAAAACTTTTGAAAGTTACTACTTATGATTGGTAAAGGCTAGGGTAGTAACAGTTACTAAGTGCTTGTAGTAACAGCAAATGTAGTAACTGTAGCCACCCTCGTCATTACCAACTTCACTGATTAGCAGGGTTGAAACATTAGTGAGAAACCATTACTACCCCAAGGTTAGCAAGTATTATTACAATTTTAAGAATGCACATTGGCAATGTCAAGCCAGCGTTGCGCTAGTATATCAAAGTAGTCATGGATTTCATAATCGCCCACTAAGCTTGAAGCTCCACCAGCGGAGATCACAAAGACCGCAGCATCACAACCTCGTCAGCAGATTCCTTGATAGAAAACACGCTTTTACAAGGTGGCGTTGAGACTGCTGTCTGTGGTAGTGTAGCAGCCCTTCTTCGTGTTTTTTAATGAACTCGCACACATGCGGAATAAAATATGCTGAAACAGTGCCGTTTCTGCTTGTTTAACTATGAGTGAAAACTGATTACATGTAAGTATGTAACTCTTGTGTTTCGTCAGCCAATCACTGCGTATTTCACACCATTGTCAGTACTGCGAAATTTTCTCAACTAGTCTGTGCTCACTGAACATATATTTAACTAAAGCACTACCATTTGGGCTCAATCCACAGTAGCATAAAGAGAACAATTATTTTGCACTCATCAAGCAAACTAATGAAAAGTCTGTCTTACCTGACCAATCGAGAGTCTTTTAATTTCGAACGCTTGAGTTTCCGCTCGCAGGCAGAGAGAAGAGACCGACGAGGGAGAAGAACAAGAATCACCTTCTTCACAGACGTCGGCCAGAAATCGATTGCGCTTGTAGGAACCACCACTGCCACCCAGAGAGATCGCATAAAGCGGCACTTTCCACAAGCGGCATCTTGCTAGCTCGTCGAGCAGTTGCAGCGCGTAGCGCTCTTTGCTTGGACGAATACGGCTACCCTGCTTGAACAGTGCGAAGGGCTCAAAGTGCAAGAATGTCCTAGGCACATGTGCCAACAGTTCACTCAGAAGTGTGACACTGGACTTGGGGATAAGTGACGATCAGCAGTCGTTTGACGACCGATGACGGGACTATGGGATAAGCTTCGAGAACAGCTTTGAAGGCGGTGGGCAGTGTTTCACCGTCATCCTCGATAATCGGGCCTGCACCAGATGCACAGAGAGTCCATGATTACGAAAATGTGTTATCTGCGATGAGTGTGCTTTTCTCTATATTTGTCTTGAATTGATGAATAAACAGGTCCTTTTTTAACTAGCTACTTGAAATAATTTGATGCCTGGAGCCGCACCAAACGGCTACTCTTGTGGTTGCTGGTAGGTTGTGCCAGTGTTAGTAAGACTAGCTTCTCCGTAAGCTTACATAATGCGCAAGCAGTGTTTCGAAGGATAAAGTAGGTAGTGGTCACACACTGTACAACCAATATACCGCTCGATAATGTGAACCTATTTTGGGATTCCTGCACCAACATGTGGAAGTCACTTGGCTACCTTGCTTGCTAAAACTGGGGCATCAAGGCAGCTCAGTGCTCCTCGTTAAATAAATGGCGGCTGAACGCTTCGTTGGAGGGTTTGCTCATTGTCATTTGTTGTTTATTGTTTATGTCGAGATAGGATCACGCAAATTTATGTTTGGGTACATGTGAACAAGTCTTGGGAAATTTTCACATATCATGTTTTTTAAACTATTTCTTATCACAAAAAATTAGTGAATGCCTTAAGAAGAGGGGATTTAGCAGAAAATATGCCTTTTTTAATGAAGACACACTTTCACAATGGTAGTGTACTACATCTTCTAAAAACCAGAGAAGAGTGGCGCCCCAGCCATTTCAAGTACTTTGAGGCTGCGCCACAGAGCATTCCAGTGAAAACTTCTGTACGTATAAATAAGGGAGAAATATTTACAATGTTCACATCGTAAAAAAAATGCTACATGTCTTTCTGTTTAAGACCTTTGGATATATTTTTACGCAATTCGGACTGTAGCAGAGCCCATGAACCTCATTTGGACCCAACTCATGCGTGACAGACAAGCATTTATTACAGTAACTTCACCAAGTTCTTGGAAGGCTCTGAGTAGCGTGCTCTAAAAGTAAGATGTAAAATTGTTGAAAGAAACCACAACGGAAAATCAATCTCTGCATCACACACTGCGATTTGAGTAGTGTTAGTTTGCTTGAAGAGAAGCATTTTCCTGGTTGATTATTTACTAAGTGCGAGCATGAAATGCACTGATACACTGCAAAAAGGGTGAGTCTGATGGGCTCTAGAGTCTAATATTATGTGTGGTGTGACATCCGGGAACAAGAGTATGAGGGAAAGAATAGTGGAGGGCTCAAGAACTTTCGACCACTTCCCGTTGTTCAACTCGAACTGGCGTCACACAGAACAAGAGCATCTGGCATTTCCACTGAATTGAAATGTGACCTCCTTCGCCACAATCGATCCCGCGATCTTTCTGTCAGCAGCCGAGCACCGTGGGCGGGAGGGCATTACAGTCTCTAGACGTAAATCTCAGGGGAGATTGCATGTGAAGATGTTTATTGCGAATATTGAGCGTTGCCGGATTAATGCGCAACAGATAACTTTAAAAAAAGTGTCACTGAAAAAAGAAAGACATGTTCTGCAAAAAAATTATGAGCCCATTACAGAAACGGCAACTCTGCCAGCGTAGGCCTTTACTTTTGAACACCACATGGCAATGTCCAAATAATAAAGGATCAAGACACCAAGAAGTGTGGCAGCTTTGGCTGGTTCGTATGACATGACGATAGTTACAGCGCGAGAACAGAACGACGACACAGACAAGAAGAACGTGTCCTTCGTGTCCTTCTTTTCTGTGTCGTCGTTCTGTTCTCGCACTATAACTGTTGTCAACACACCAAAACGGGAAATGTGAAAGTGAAGGTACATACGATAAGGAGCCAGACCTTTGGAGTGATTTCTCCGCACATCACTTTTGAGCTCCATCTCAATGTGCATTATTAGCTTTCATTCAACATTAAAGATTATGTTCGTGCAGTTATTTTGTTTATTGGCCATTTTATCCTTTTAAAAAACGTGTTTTGAAGTTGTAACAGGTCTAGTAAATTTTTATAATATATATATATATATATATATATATATATATATATATATATATATATATATGTTTGTGTGTGTGTGTGTGTGTGTGTGTGTGTGCGTGTGTGTGTGTGTTTATATAATCTGGATTAAGTAAACAAGTATGGAATAGCGTCAATTCATGGTCGACTTTCACAATCTGTCCGCTGCTCTTGTAACACGGAGATTGGTGTTTTAACGTAGAGCCCGTGCTGACCTACTTTCGTCTTTCGTACAATTCAGAATATTTCACTGAAAAGGGATCAGAGTACCTTGTACACTGTCCGCTTCTGCCCGAAGTCGTTGTGCCTTGAACCACATTTCTCGGTAAAGATGAATGCTATGCATTTTTACTCAGGTTTGAATGCCTTCAGTGAATACAGTGGGCATCCCGGCTGTGGTGGCTGCATTTCCGATGGAGGCGAAAATGTTGTAGGCCCATGTGCTCAGATTTCATCATCATCATCATCATCAGCCTGACTACGTCCACTGCAGGACAAAGGCCTCTCCCATGTTCCGCCAGTTAACCCGGTCCTGTGCTTGCTGCTGCCAATTTATACCCGCAAACTTCTTAATCTCATCTGCCCACCTAACCTTCTGTCTCCCCCTAACCCGCTTCCCTTCTCTGGGAATCCAGTCAGTTACCCTTAATGACAAGCGGTTATCCTGTCTACGCGCTACATGCCCTGCCCATGTCCATTTCTTCTTCTTGATTTCAGCAATGATATCCTTAACCCCCGTTTGTTCCCTAATCCACTCTGCTCTCTTCTTGTCTCTTAAAGTTACACCTACCATTTTTCTTTCCATTGCTCGCTGCGTCGTCCTCAATTTAAGCTGAACCCTCTTTGTAAGTCTCCAGGTTTCTGCTCCGTAGCTAAGTACCGGCAAGATACAGCTGTTATATACCTTCCTCTTGAGGGATAGTGGCAAACTACCTGTCATAATTTGAGAGTGCTTGCCAAATGTGCTCCACCCCATTCTTATTCTTCTAGTTACTTCAGTCTCGTGGTTCGGCTCTGCGGTTATTACCTGCCCTAAGTAGACATAGTCTTTTACAACTTCAAGTGCACTATTACCTATCTCGAAGCGCTGCTCCTTGCCGAGGTTGTTGTACATTACTTTCGTTTTCTGCAGATTAATTTTAAGACCCACCTTTCTGCTCTCCTTGTCTAGCTCCGTAATCATGAGTTGCAATTCGTCCCCCGAGTTACTCAGCAATGCAATGTCATCGGCGAAGCGCAGGTTACTAAGGTATTCTCCATTGACTCTTATCCCTAACTGTTCCCATTCTAGGCTTCTGAAAACCTCCTGTAAGCACGCGGTAAATAGCATTGGGGAAATTGTGTCCCCCTGCCTAACACCCTTCTTGATTGGTATTCTGTTGCTTTCTTTATGAAGCACTAAGGTAGCAGTTGATCCCCTGTAGATTTCTTCCAGAATGTTTATATATACTTCATCTACGCCCTGATTCCGCAGTGTTTGCATGACGGCTGATATTTCTACTGAATCAAACGCTTTCTCGTAATCTATGAAGGCTATGTATAGGGGTTGGTAATACTCTGAGCATTTCTCTATTACCTGATTGATAGTATGAATGTGGTCAATTGTTGAGTAGCCTGTTCGAAATCCTGCTTGTTCCTTTGGTTGATTGAATTCTAATGTTTTCTTTACTCTGTTAGCAATTACCTTTGTAAATAGCTTGTATACTACAGAGAGCAAGCTGATCGGCCTGTAATTCTTCAAGTCCTTGTCATCTCCTTTCTTATGTATTAAGATGATGTTAGCGTTCTTCCAAGACTCTGGTACTTTTCCCGTCAGGAGACACCTCGTAAACAGGGTGGCTAGTTTTTCTAACACAATCTGTCCTCCATCTTTCAGCAGATCTGATGTTACCTGATCCTCACCAGCAGCTTTGCCCCTTTGCATGCTCTCCAAAGCTTTCCTGACTTCTTCTATCATTACTGGTGGGGTGTAATCAGGGTTACTGCTAGTTCTTATAGTATTAAGGCCATGGTTGTCACGGCTACTGTACAGATCTCTGTAAAACTCCTCTGCTATTTTAACTATTCTATCCACATTGGTAGTTATTTTGCCTTCTTTGTCCCTTAGTGCATACATCCGACTTTTGCCTATCCCAAGTTTCCTCTTCAATGCTTTGACACTTCCTCCGTTTTTCAGAGCGTGTTCAATTCTCTCCATGTTATACCTTCTTACATCGCATACCTTTCGTCTATTAATCGACTTCGAAAGCTCTGCCAGTTCTATTTTGTCTGTTGTACTTGACACTTTCATGATTTGACGCTTCTTAATTAGGTTCTTCGTTTCCTGGGAAAGCTTGCCAGTGTCCTGTCTAACTACCCTGCCTCCAACTTCCACTGCACACTCCGTAATGACACTCGTTAGATTATCATTCATTGTATCTACGCTAAGGTTCGTTTCCTCACTAAGAGCCGAGTACCTTTTCTGCAGCGACACTCTGAATTCCTGTACTTTCCCTCTCAGTGCTAGCTGATTGATTGGCTTCTTGCGTATCAGTTTCTGTCGTTCCTTCTTCAAGTCTAGGCGAATTCGAGACCGTACTATTCTATGGTCACTGCATCGTACCTTGCCAATCACTTCCACATCCTGCACAATTCCAGGTTGTGCACTCATTATAAAGTCTATTTCGTTCTTATTTTCGCCATTAGGGCTCCTCCATGTCCACTTGCGGTTTTCTCGTTTTCGGTAGAAGGTATTCAAAATCCGTAAATTATTGCGTTCTGCGAATTCTACTAGTAGCTCTCCTCTGGCGTTTCTAGTACCGATGCCATAATCTCCTACTGCCTGGTCTCCAGCCTGCTTCTTCCCTACCTTTGCATTAAAGTCGCCCATCACTATAGTATACTGTGTTTTTACCTTACTCATTGCCGATTCCACGTCTTCATAGAAGCTTTCAA